TAGTGCCCCCAACAAGACGGGTCCTCATTTTTCCCACCTCGGAAGGATGGAAGGCGGAGTCATCCCTGAGCCGGTGAGATTTGAACAGCCGAACTGCAGAACTGCAGTCAGCTGAAGTAGCCTGCAGTGCTGCATTTAACCACTGCGCCACCTCGGCTCTTACAATTGCTAAGCAACCAGTTATAAGTCGAGGACTATCTATATTCAATATTCAAGCTGATATATTGAAAAAGCAAGTTAAGAGGGAAGGATGAAGCAGCTGTTAGTTTTGTGAAAAAAATGCATAAATACACTGGCCTGCTAACTTCCAAGGGTTTGTTTATAATCTGAAATCAATAAATGAATGACAGATGTAAAGATAACCTACCAAAATAAACAATTCTTCTAAAATTAGGGTTAGTTGTTCGCCCTAAAGACAGATAGAAATGTCTTCCATGATTTTAATTATGAAATTTGCATAGCTTTATTGGAAAGGAAATCCATGGGAAAAAAAACATTGCACACTTGGTAATCTTTATAAGATGTGGATTCGGTATTCTAAAGCCTCTCTAATTTATGTTTGACGAAACTGAGTGTAATCAGTCCTCCATATACTGTGTTTCCCCAACAATAAGACAGAGTCTTATTTTCTTTTGACCCTGAAATAAGCGTTTGACCTTATTTTCAGGGAGGTCTTATTATTTTTGAGATGTAGGAGGCGGCGAGCATGGTCACTTCATGACTGCTGCTGTGTTGCAATATTTTTTGGGAAGGCTTATTTTTGGGGGAAGGACTTATTTTTAAGTGCATGCGCTCAAGCCCGATTGGGCTTATAATCTGGGGAGGTTTTATTTTCAGGGAAACAGGGTATTATGATTCTTCACAGGCTTTATGAAAATCTTTTATTTTCTACCTATTCCGATCGGGGGAACAGGAAGATGGCTAAAACTGACAACTTGAAATAACTATCAGTTTGTATTTAATTTGGTGGATCAAACTTTCTCGAAATATATTACTGAATTTTAAGAGACCATTGGCAGATGTTCAGGTTTCAGATTACTTGATCTTGTCTAATGAGAATTTGTGTCATGGTTGATTGCCTTTTCTATATTTCAGAATAATGAGGCCCACTGGGAGAAAGGTTGCTGAACTTAAGATTTTTAAGTCTGTAACACTTCAAAATCTTAATTTCTCCCACAGTGTTTATGCATTTGCAATTTAATATATTCTGCTGTAATGTAATAAAATGTATTTCGAGTCTCTGGGTGACAGAATGGCATTTCTCTAGCCTTCTTGTTTTCAAGTAGGATTTAAGTGAAATAATGTCTCAGCTTTTGTGTTTTTTTCTGAATGCAAATAAGAAGGCACACCCTCCCTATTCATGTCATTTTCCCAATACAAATGAATTCAGATGATGAAATTCTCAAGTTTACTCATGTACAACTTCTCAGGTGCGATCTTTGAATTTGCCGAGTGATCTTCTGAGACAAAAGACAAGAAGTGAGAACTGGCTCTGTAGCTTTTAGAAACAAGTCTGTTCAAATTTTCATAATAGTTTAAAGGTTCCAAAGATAGATGTTACTGTTCATGAGTGACGTGGGAAAAAAGAGATAAAGTCAAATAACACTTGATATGTCTGTCCTAAGGATTGGCCTCGCCAAATGAAAGCAATACTAAGCTAATGAAATATCAGCCTTGCAAATAAAGTTCCAATAGTCTTTCTTTCTTTTTTCTTTTTGCATTTCAAATGCAAAAGGAGGTGATGGGGAACGTGGCCTTTGGCTGCAGAATTCCTTCCCAGGAAAGCTTGCTTAGCATCTTCTTTGAAGCTATTATAATGGCAAGAGAAACCCTTTTTTATTTTTCAGAATTTTTTTCATTAACATAATATGTGCAGTTTTTGTTTGTTATACTGCTATATATGCAGTGAGCATTTTGTTTGTTATACTGCTATGTATTTATAATTTGAAATTAAAGTCTCAGGGAAACTTGTTAAAAATTGGATTGTAACTGCTTACAGTGAACAAACGAACAAGGTTGCAGTCATGAACCAGAATTTGATTAGCTGGCATGCTTGCCTGCCACATCAGTCAAGAAACCTTTGAGCTTGGAGCCCAGTGAGACTACTGTATTCTGGCAATCAATTGATTGAAGAAATCACAGTAGCATAGTTGGCTAATTAAAGCTGAATTTATTTGTACATAAGCAGCATGTTCCATTCCCAAAACACACTGAGATATTTTGAGTGCTTGTGACAAAACTCCTTATTTGGATTATAAGAACCACCTGAAAAGTCTAGGTCAAAATCATTTGGGAGCAATACAAACATGAATGCATTATTTTGTCTGGTCTTCGAGACATGTATCTTCTTCCCATCCCAGCCCTCCATGATGACAAAACATCAGAAACAAGCTGGTGCATGAATAACAGGGTTGCTTAAAATATTCTTATTTATACAAGATTATGGAAGCAATAGCAGCAGGATTAATTCAGCCTCTTATGAATTTCATGTGTGGTCCTATCCTTGTGCTTAGAAAAATGAGGTCTGTTGTACATATGTATAAGATTCCCTTTCTCATTTTTCTGACTAGTTTCTCAGTTTTCCGTCTTTGCCATTAGTTTACATTTTTTTTAAAAGATTCATATATATATTTTCATACCTTTTACTTTCAGGATATGGAATAATTGAATACATTCTTCTAATAAGCACATTGTGCACGCATGTTCTTGCAACATAATGCATTTTTATCTGTATTATTTTTGGGATATAACCATTTTT